GGTGGGTGGGTGGATGGATGGGTGGGTGGATGGATGAATGAGTGGATGGGTGGGTGGATGGGTGGACGAGTGGGTGGATAGATGGGTGGACGGGTGGATGGTGGATGGGTGAGTGGATGGGTGGATAAGTAGATGTGTGGTAACTAGATGATGGCACGGTCACCTAAGTGTGATGGAGACGAGTCCCTTCCCCGGGCACTCACAGGTGGTGGGGGTGGTGGATACACAGGCCACCACGCAGAGTCGTGCAGTAGTGGGAAAAGCCCAAGTTCAGTTCCGGGCCTCATCACTTGGGTGGTCTTGGGCAAGCCTCCTTGCTTCTCTGAGCCTTGGTTGTCTCATCTGCACATGAGGTGGGGGGGCGGTGATGTTGTGAATAGGACGTGATGGGATGTGGGGCCAGGGACCCCAGGAGGGCACCTCGCCTGGCGGGAGGAAGTCAGCGAAGGCCTCCTGGGGGAGAGGACACCTACACTGAGACCTGGACGGAAGAGCCCACTGGTAGAGTTTGTCCCCCACAAGGGGCTGCAGCAGAGCCCCGGGCACGGGCACGGCACAGGCAGAGTTTGTGTGTGTGGAGAGTGTCTGTGTGGGCATTTCCTACAGGGAGGGAGCATGACCCCAAGAAAGGTTGCCAAATACCCCTGGAATATTTAAAAGATGATCCAATATGGACATGGAATCTGTCTAGAAAGAAACAGAAGCTGCCCCTGGGAAGAAGAGGCAAGACCCTCTCCCCTTGACTCCCTCTGTACAAGCCCCCACTTGACCGCGTCCTGACCAACTGTTCGACGGCTGCTGCCACCAGCACTGTGCTCTCAGGTGAATGAAGGAGACAGGGACAACGAGTAACAGATAATTACACTGTCACAGAAGTTAATAAAGTTAATAAACAGATACATTAGTAGAGATGACTTATTTTAAAAAGGAATTGACGAAATCCAGAAAGCTCGTGGAGCCGTGGATGTAAGTTGGCCGGGGCTGCCCTCTGAGCCCCACGTGAAGCGGGAAGTCCTGTAGATGGTCACAGTGTCAGAGAAGCTTCTGAGAGGCGACACTGCAGCTGGGTCCTGAGGGCAGCAGGATCTGCACACCTGAGGAAAGGCGGAGGGGACAGCACCCGGCCAAAGGCAGAGCAGCCAGAACTCAGGAGCAAACAAGAAGGATCAAGTGGCGCCTGTATGAAGGTGGGGAGTGGGCGGGAGGCTGGATGGAGGTCCAGCCAGCTGTGGAGGGTCTGGAAAGCCAGGCCAGCGGTCAGGACTTTCCTCTGCCGGCAATGAGGCGCCACTGAAGGCTCAACGGATTCCCAAAATGTTTTCATTGTTTAAAATGCGTGCAGTTGGCTGCACGTCACCTGGAACTCTCTGGAGGAACATGGCCAAAATGTAAACTAAGAACGCTGCTCCTGTGAGTGCTGAGTAATAATTAGGGCCTGGTGGTGTATCCCGCACGCGCGTCCAATGGAGTGACAGCCTTTCTCCCAAGCAGCATGAGTCCCTGACAGCCCCAGCCACAGGGCAGCCGCCCCAGCCATGGACGACCCTGCGCTCGTGGTTCACCTGTGCCAGGTGAAACAATCGCAGATGAGGGGGCGTGGCCCAGGACGTGGTGACCGTCCTCTGCTGAGGGGCGGGGACACACCCCCCTGCTGACCGGGCCTGGGGGACCCCAGGGGACAAGGTATGCGCAGGTCCTCAAACATGAGCGAGCGGCTGAAATGGGATTTTATTTTATTTTTTTTGTTGAGGAAGATTAGCCCTGAGCTAACATCTGATGCCAATCCTCCTCTTTTTTGCTGAGGAAGATTGGCCCTGGGCTGACATCCATGCCCATCTTCCTCTACTTTATATGGGACACTGCCACAGCATGGCTTGACAAGCAGTGTGTCGGTGCGCGCCAGGGATCCGAACCCGCAAACCCTGGACTGCCGAAGTGGAGCACACGCACTTAACCGCTGAGCCACTGGGCCGGCCCCTGAAAGGGGATTTTAGAATAACCCAGGAGAGGTGGGGAGTGAGGCGGAGGCTCGGCCTGGCTTTGCCCCCGGTTGTCTCTAACCTCTCACCTCCCCGCAGGTGAGGATGACCTGTGAGCTGGAGTGGCCGAGCTGTGGCAAGAGCCGGCCCCACGTGGCACCCCCTTGCCACCCACTGAGAGCCCCCATGGTTCCAGGACCTGGGAAGGGCTGGCCTGGGGCACCCTCACCCCACCCAGTGGCACATGCACCCAACACGCTCTCTGCATCCTCTTGGTTCCTGGACGTTGAAGGCACCGACCAGGACCCTCCCTGACCCTAAACACCCAAAGACGAGGCCAGGCCCACCAGAAGACCCCACCACCAAGGGGGCAGCAGCCCTGGGGCCCTAGGCCCTCCTGCCCCTGGCATCACAGGGTGGTCCTCCTGCCTCTGCCTTCACAGAGGAGGCTGGGGGCCACTGGAAAAGCTCTCGCTTCTTCGTGCACAGAACTCGATAGGCAGGAGGGCAGGCCCCCCAGGGGCCACCCCCATGCTGGGGTCTTCTCAGCTACGTCATTATTGTGGTCAAAGCTCACAGCACTGGAGAGGCGGTTACTGCTCTCGCTTCCCGGAGGCTCAGAGAGGTCCAGGTCCTCACCTGAGGTCACACAGCGCTGGTGCAGGGCTGTAGTTCCCAGGGGCACCACAGGCACCGCTGGCCCCAGCGTGCGGGTCGATGCTTACCTCCTCCGACACCCATGGCTGTGGTTGGTCTTATGACTTAACCCCAGCAATGCCGGAGAGCCCTGGAGGCAGGGTGGCCTCACATCACCCCCTGGAGGGAGAGAACTGAGCCCCAGCCTCGGGGTGGCTGCTGACCACACTCTTCGGGCACCCTGAGCTCTGAGGCGCTGTCTTCCCAGGGCCCTTCTTGCTGACAGATTCTGGAATGTTCCATCTTCTTGCCCCAGGAACTGTCTAAATGTCCCAGAAGTTCCAATCATAAGTCACCCAAAGGGCACAGCCCAAGCCCCCAGTGCAGGTGGCGCCAAGAGTCTCAGGGCGCCCCATGCCCCCAGCTGGCAGCTGAAGGGTTGCTCATACATCTGCCGCATGCCCGGGGCCCAGCTTTCCACCTGCGTCACCTCACTCACGGTCAGAGCACCCCACCTCGCACCCCACTTCAGAGAAGTTGGCAATGTGTCCAGGGGCAGCCTGGCAGCTGGCCCCAGACCAGGGCTTCACCACCGCACAGGAAAAACCCGCTCCTGGCGATGGACGCTCCACGGCCCAGAAAGAGACAGAAGACGGGGGCAGGCTCCCCAACCCGGAGGAACCTCTGCTGACCGTTCTCGCGGATCATTCCAGGTGCTTCTGTGTAAGTGCGGTGCTGTGTGCGTCACGTTTTAAGAAAAGGCAGACGCGCGCCTACAAGTCAGACTGTCCTGTCATCTGTGTTCCTCCGCTTCATGCCGCCCGTCTTTTCCAGGGACGACCTGGGGGCTGTGCTCGCCCGCAGGGCTGTGGTCTCCTCCCCGGCGCTGTGTGGGTGATGAGCCCTTCCCTCGAGTTACAGGGAGATCCACAGTAACAACAAGCACCCGCAGAGCTGCTGCAGCAGCCAGGCATACAGTAAGTGCCACATTAGTGCCAGTCTACAAACAGGACCTCCCTGAACACTTGTTCCTGAAGGCACTCCTTGGTGCTCTCTGTGCAGACTGGCTCATTGTCGTCTCCTGGACCCCAGATGGCGAAAGGGTCGCACCCCATGAGCACAGGGCAGGTCAGGCCCCAGGGCAGCTGTTCTCGCCCCACCACAGGCAGGGCACGCAAGGTACCCTCCTTCGTTACCGAGAAGGCTTAACCCGGCACTAGGAATTTCTGCAACGATGGAATGTTCTAGGTCTGTGCCATGCATGACCAGGCAGGGCAGCTGTGTGATGGAGTCTTCAGTTTATTTCATTTTATTCCGTGTGGTGCGTGGTGACTAGGCAGCGGGGCACTGTCATGCACCACGGAGCCAGGGGCACCACACTGGCCTGTCCGGAGCCAGGGGCACCACACTGGCCTGCCCCGCCAGGACGGGCCCCTTTCCCAGCCCTGCCTCATCCCCCCCACTCCACTGGGTGGTCTCCCCCAAGCCTGGCCCACCCAGCCGGGCCCTGGGGATGACACTAAAGGGACGCAGGCTCCCCGCCCCAATGTCTGAGGAGGCGTCACCAGGAGCTGGTGTCCCCACAACCTGGGAACAACACCTCCTTTCTCTGAATTTAAGGAAAACAGCCTCCTCTGGAAGCAAACCTCTTACACAGATGTTTCCTCTTGGCATGAGCCTCCCAGCCCGGACCTTCCCCCGCGCCCCGAGGCGGAGCCTGCTTGGCTCTCACAGGGAGGCACAGAGACCAAGTGATTTCAATTCTTTTTAGGAAGGGGGAGGAAAATATTTTAAAAAATGTGTTTTACAAGCCTGCCTTTGCCATTGTTTATGTAAACAGGTAAATTGTTTCCTGCCTCAATTAAAAACATCTGCCACATAAATGAATACCAATTAACTCATCCTGTTTTTAATTACTCTGTTAATTACATGCAGGCAGCAGAAAGGAGGGAGTAGGGGAGCCGAGTGCGGTCCCTCCCCCTAGCTTGGCAAGGATCCGGAATGTGCCTGGCTCCTGGGGGAGGGGGGTGGCAGGGAGGTGGTGGCACAGTGCCAGCCGGGATTCCCCGATCCAGGGCTGCCAAGTGGGCACCTCTTCCCAGGGTCCCCATGAGGGGCGGCCTGGGGGCTCCCAGCTCACACCTGGGAGGGTGGAGCCCCCTCCTGCGTGGCTCCTGCCCCTTGGCCTCCTGCAGCCCCACGACTCTGCCTTCAGGCCTCGTTGTCACTGGAGAGGAAGGAGGGGCCTTGAGGGCGTCCCACTCACTCCTGACCACATATTGACGGGAGAGGGAGGTGGCCAGAGGGGTGGAGGCCTGGATCTCCTCCAGGAAGGCCTGCCTTAGGGGAGGGGGATCAAAGTCCCCCCAAACGGCACCACTGCGAATTTAACGGCACCACTGCGAATTAACACTGGAGCCAGACTCTGTGTGCTGAGTGCCCTGGATGCAAGGCTAGAGGCCCCATTTAGAGCCCATTCCTGGGAGCACCCCTCCCCCACCCCCTCGCCAGCCTCCATTCGGTTCCCTTCCCGCATTGCGGTTTGTACTTACACGGCCCTACTCTGCCCGGCCCACGGGATGCAGGACGCCCTCAGGACATGCTCACCCAGAGAACCAGGAAACACTCCATGCACTCGCTGAGGGACGGACGCATCATTACTCCCATTTAGAGGGAAGGCTTGGGAGGACAACCTGTTGTCCAAGGTCGCATGGCTCTCGCCTGCCTGAGGAGGATTTGAACCCAGGACTCTGACTGCAGGGCTTGTGAGGAGCCGCACAACCATCTATACCCCCGACCCCAACTGTCTGTCACAGCGAGCCCAGCTCACATGCCGACAAGTCTCATGTCAGACAAGTCCCAGGGGACCCCGGGCTCCCACCACACTTGGGCAGTCGGGGGCTCCTCCTCCACGCTGGGGTCTCTCCTTGCAGGGGCGTCTCTGGGTCCTTGCTCCCCCTGGGAGGGCATAACCCACCTCCCACAGACGCATGTGGCCACGGCTTATAGATGCTGAGACAGTCAGAGCTGGCTAGGCCTCAGAGCCTGTCCAGCCAGAGCGGCCAATAGGTTTCCACTCGCATGTCAAATCCCACCCAGCAGTGGGCACCAGACCCACTCCCTAGAAGGATGCTGCTGTTTCAGGCAGACTCAAAGGGAAAGGAGTGCTGCCATCGATTAGCCAGTCTACCCCGGGCATCAGACTGGGTGGATATTGATTAGCCATGTCTACCATGGGTGTCAGACTGGGCAGAGATTGATTAGCAATGTCTGCCATGGGCATCACAGTGGGTGGAGGGGGAAGGTACCCCACGCATTGGCACATTAGGATCCAGTCCACCCCTCATTTCACAGATGAGAAACCTGAGGCCCACAGTGTTCTAGAACAGTCTACCTGTCCTATTACCTGTGGGCACCTGCTCAGGGGCTGCCTGCACCTGGGACCTTCTCCAACTATACAAATGGACAGGCCAGAGTCCACCCCATGCCATCCCTTCCAAGGCTTGGTCCCAGCTTGCAGCCCTCAGACACCAGCTGCAAGGCCCTGCCTAGAATCTTGACCCAGCCTCAGAGAAGGGAGAGGGAAACAGCCAATGCTAAGTGGCCAACAAAATATTAAATTGAGTCCTTCCAGCGGCCCTGTGAGGTTGTTCTGTTATTTAAAAATAATAATGAGAACGTAAAACATGTTACTACTCCCACTTTATAGATAGGACAACTGAGGCTCAGACAGGTTAAGTAACTGGCC